AAATGTTGGAAACACGAACACAGATTTCGACTTTGTAACTTCAGATGGATAATTCAAGATGTAATTGACTTTAGATTAAGAATATTTGAATATCACTGAAAACAGTCGTTAGATACATTCCTGGCTTCATCAGCTGATCACGCACGCGATCATTGTATCGCTACTTACATTTTCTGAATCTACTGACGGTTCAGTCTGTGTCCTGTGGTTTTAAATCCCCGATGAAAACTGTTTCATGCGACCAGTGAAGTCTGCAGCCTGAGAGAGTCTCTGGGATGTTTACAGTCAGGAGATCAAACTGAAATCAGACGTGAAGCAAAGCGACACCAGCTCCTCTTTCTCGTTCTCCTCCGCAGCCTGGTGTTTATGTGCGACGGGCGCAGGAAAACCACGTCACTTTGCAGCGACTACATTTCCCATGAGCACGAGCTCCCTACAACCACTCGAGACAAACATGGCGGGTATGTGAATATTTGTTCTCATCTTTAGTGTTTCCAACCCGAGGAATTAGCTGCAACTGACCCTCGATACAACACAAATAAAGACTTTAGATCATCGATATGACGCCGTGAGGGTGTCAGAGCCACTTTAACACAACGACATCCACTCGAAACAAAACGGAAAATGTGACCTTGGCTGTGTCGCTAGCGGTGGCTAACGTTAGCTAAACACAGACTGAGCAGAGGAGGGTTTTAACCTGGTTTGTGTTTGTTCTGTGTCTCTCTGCAGGAATCGGAGCTTTCCTGAAGAATGCCTGGAACAAAGAGCCTGTTATTTTGGCCTCCTGTGCGATCGGAGCGCTCGGTCAGTAACTTAACTTGGAAACATAAATCTATCTGAGAGATACACATCATAGGACTTACTTTGGAAATACTTAACACGTCAACAAATGATCATGAATTTCTAAAAAGACAGATTTTCCAGTGCCTCAAACGATGAATCATTAAGACCCCGCTGGTTTATAGTAGGGATGGGCAGTTAGAAACATAAATAATGGATAAGCACAGAACTGATCCACCTCAGATCTGTAATACATTTATTTAATCAAGTGTTTGTCATTCTCTGGCCATAAAGAACAGTTTGAAACCACAACCTCCACTCAGGAGCAAAATAACT